TGTCCTCGTCCGTCACCCCACAGTTATCATATTTTCCAGTCACCTCTAGTTTGTGTTTGCTAATTTTTTTAACACTTGGTTACAATTAATAGTTACAGTTAATAAAAAAATTCAAAACGTATCTCGCATCATTTATGGTACGGGGTAAAATGCAACGTAGCCTACATAATAAAACAATGATTTTTTAAAGAAAATATTTATAATTCTCTTAAATTCTTAAATATTCTCTTAAGTTTTTTTCAAGAATTATATTTAAGAACATTGGGCCTCATTTACCAACCGTTCCTAATAAGAAATTTCTTCTTAAAACCCACTTACGCAGTTTTGACGAAGATTCTGACATTCACCAATGTTTTCTTATTTGGGATTCATTCTTAGGCAAGAACAGAATTTACACACACTCAAGAGCACAAAGGTGAGAACAGTTCTGCAGCTTAAGAACACGTCATGAATCTGACGTAGACTTTTTCTTAGGATCTTTTTTAAGAACACATTTAAGAACAAACAAAGAAGATAATGAGGACCATTCTTATTAACTTCTTAGTATTTGTCTTAACAACCTTCAACAAGTTTTTTCTTAAGAAAGCTTTTGTGAATCAGACCCCTGATCCAAGACACTCTAATATGATAAAGAAGGGGTGTCATTAAAATATCAAAATCAAATAAAACTGTATAAAATTTTTCTGACATTTGGTTACAATTTAAGAAACTTCTGTTTATTAAAAAAATATATAAAAAAAGTAAATTTAGCTAATTACAGTAAAATAATGGCTTTGTTATTAAGAGCCCATGACTCCACCATATTTAGTGAACTATCCTGTAGGTCTGTTCACACGTTTGGGGAGCAGGAGACGCTGTGACGAGTGCTCGAGCACCTGCCTTTTTGCCCCATGATGTCCATAGTTCCCTTTTACAGTGGCCTGCCTGAGGCCCCTATCAAGAGAAAGAGTTTAAATTGATCATTTTGAATTGAATCGCAGTCAAATGGTGTCCATTAAAAGTCAGTGACTTTATCACAGAAATGGGGACTCGAGTTAATGACTTGTTGACTGACTCACATCTCAACTTGCCCTTCACTGACTCTCAACTTGACTTGGCTGGAACTCAAGGCTGAATATTCTTAGCCTGAGGAAAAAACACAAACAACAACTGATAAATTAAGGACCGCCAATCTTAATGCTTTAAATGAACAGAAGCTTTAGTTTTTGACCTTACATGTGTGACTTTGCCTTTGAGTTTTGCGCAGTCGTTACCCAAATGGCATTGTCCCGCAGCTCACAGAGGCATCAGGTTTGATAGAGCTTCAAAAAATGAGCAATTCAATATAGAAAAACCTTCGGTTTCTACATCCAGTAAATGCAGCAAAATATGACTCTGACTAGCATGTGGTAAACAACTTTGCTAGCTAGTGCAATAGCTAATTTAGCTGAAGTTTTAGAAAACACTGAACTAAAGTTTCACATGGTCATTTTTATGGAACACAGGTCAGAGACAGTGGAAGCTGCTATGCTGATCACCGACAAAACATATGCTGTTTTTTGCATGCTGGTATGTTGGTCATCCAGCCATCTGAACAGATAAACCAGCATCAATCCAGCTTAGACCGTCATTGAATTCAACTGGTCAGTGCAGTTCTTTTCAACCAAAAAAGTTGTTTACCTCTTTCCTTTAAACATTTCTTTTACTAAAGGTAGCACTTCAGTTCTTTCCTTCAGACTGAAGGTTTTTTGTGAATGAAAAGCTTGTTATTTGAAGCTGTGTTGAACTTTTCAGCAGGGTTTACTTTTGTGCAATGCCATGCTTGCAGCTAACAAACATCCACTACTAAAGACTCCAGACTTGAACATTCTTGCGAACATTCATCAGTGATATTTCCTGGATATTAATTAACCTTTTTCTTTGACAAGCCAATCTTAAGCCCCATCATGTTTTGCTAGCCCTCCAGTCACTGCTTAACAGCTGTTGCTGTCCACCACTGCACCTTTTTAAAATTGAGCACCTGCCCCTCTAAGACTCTCTGCACACCTCTGTTTCTTTTGTACTTCTGTTAATAGCTTCACATACTTGCTTAGTCCACATATATAATACATACACTGTATTGATCCAAAAGTATTGGGACACCTATACATTACTCCCACAGGAGCTTTTATGACATCCCATTCTAAATCCATAGGCATTAATATGGAGTTGGTCCCCCCTTTGCAGCTGTAACAGCTTCTACTCTTCTTGGAAGCTTTCTACAAGATTTTGGAGTGTGTCTGTGGGAATGTTTGCCCATTCATCCAGAAGAGCATTTGTAAGGTCAGACACTAATGTTGGACGAGAGGGCCTGGCTCGCAATCTCCATTCTAGCCCATCCCATAGGTGTTCGATGGGGTTGGGTTCAGGGCTCTGTGCCGGTCAGTCAAGTTCTCACTCACTAAACTCACCCAACCATGCCTTTATGGAGCTTGCTTTGTGCACTGGGGAATGTACTGGAACAGAAACGGGCCTTCCCCAAACTGTTCCTTCCAAGTTGGAAGCGTTCAGTTGTCCAAAATGTCTTGCTATGCTGAAGCATTAAGATTTCCCTTCACTGGAACTGAGGGGCCTAGATCAACCCCTGAAAAACAAACCCATAGCATTATCCCTTCTCCACCAAACTTTACAGTTGGCACAATGCAGTCAGGCAAGTAATATTCTCCTGGCATTCACCTATCAGACTTGTCCATCAGACTGCCAGATAGAGAAGCGTGATTCATCACTCCACAGAATGCGTTTCCTCTGCTCTAGACTCCAGTGACAGCCCCGCTCTGTGAGTTTGTGTTGTCTACCGTTTCGTGGCTGTTGTTGCTCTAGACGCTTCCATTTTTACAATAATAGCACTTACAGTTGACAGGAGCAGATCTAGCATATAGAAATGTCACAAACCAGCAGAGGTGGTATCTTATTAGTGCCATATTTAAAGTCACTACGCTCATCAGTATTCTACTGCCAGTGTTTGTCTTTGGAGACTGCAAAGCTATGTGCTTAAATTCCACCTGTTAGCAATGGGTGTGGCTGAAACACGTAAACTCAATAATTAAGAGGTGTGTCCCAATACTTTTGTCTATATAGTGTAAATGGTGAAATAAAACTAATACTGAATCTCATTCTCAGAGCATTTATGTTGGTAAAACTCTCATTCAACTTAATGAGACGTTTTTGTCAAAATATCTGTATTTAGAGTATGTTATTAATTTTAAATGATAATTATTTTGTATGACGTGATTGAGCTAATGTTAGCGAGGTGGCAAATTCATTGCTATTTGAAATATGCCTAGTTTATTCAGCTAAAACTTACAATTTAGATTAAAATGTAGTTCAGCTCACTAGTGTAGCATTGTAAACTGGAAACTCAAAATTATGTAGCGACACTAAACAAACAGCATGGCCGTTTTTCATTATGTTTATGGCATTTTAACAACCAGTCTGTGAAGTGTCTAACAGTTGCTACAATATTATGTATTTGTGGGTGGAGCTGGACAGGTCAGTTCTCCCAGTACAGTCCATTATAATGTCCATTATAATCTTACAGCAAAAATGGGGTAATAGTTTCAAAACACCACAGTCTGTCTAAGATGGACATCACAGTTATTCAGTAGTCAAATACTCAGCAGAATGCAACATGAACTACAGTCAGCCTCTAGATGTCACCAGAGGACAACCAGGTATCATACATTCTTTGGAAAAGCATCTTTAGTCATTGTATCAATACAGTTTATTATAAAGATATTTACAAGTTATAAATAACATAGGACAGAAAACATGTGTCCAGGAAAACATGATTACAAAAAAAATTGATCATGATATACAACAAATGTTTCTTTTTACTTTGTGCACCGCATCAAAATATTTAACGGAAACAGTAGATGTGTGGACTACAGTGGACTCCCTGCTTCGATTCAGCTTTTTGGCTTGTTGACTGCTGTATTGTGGTCTTTGGCTGTTCAACCAGGTTTGAGGTCTGTTATGGTCTATATGCTTCATAAGAAGGGACCAGTGTGTGAGGCACCATTCCCTTGGCTCTGAACACCCTGAGATCATCAGCACCATCTACATTCATATATTTGTGTGTACACAGTCACACATGGATCCACACAATCTATAAATACATATGCACAATCACTCACATACACCTCCTGAGGTCTAAATGTATGTGGCACTGCATAGTTCTAACAATTCAAGCAATTTACAGTATTGGGCAAAAATCCAGACTGCTCTATCTGTATTGAATTTCCTGCCAAAGCCATCATTAAGCACAAACTATTCATTTTTCAGTGGATATGTAATAGCTGAAATAAACAGGTGTTTCAAAACTGGAGTTAAAAAACGTGTTAAAAAAGTGTTTCTGTCCAAGACAGCTCAATACTATGGGTCTGAAAGGATGTGTAGCTGCCAAGAAGCTCATATTTCGAAAAGGAAATAGACAAAAAAGAAGAAAACTTGCAAATCAAACAAAGAAGCTGCTGGTGTTAAGAACAATGGACAGAACACCCCAGAGTCCAGACCTCAACATCAATGAATGTGTTTGGGATTATTTGTCTCATGAAAAGCGGAAAGTGCAACCAACTTCTAAGACTGAACTTTGCAGGTTTGGTAAAATATCTCTATAAAAGATTTCTTTGAAAACCCAAAAGCACACACACACACTTTCTAAGCTGCTTATCCTTCTGGGTCACAGGGGGAGCTGGAGCCTATCCCAGCAGTCATTGGGTGGAAGGCAGGATACACCCAGTCACCAGTCCACCACAGGGCGGGCAGACAGACAGACATATACATTCACATACACACCCACACCTAAGGGCAATTTAGCATGTCCAATTGGCCTGACTGCATGTCTTTAGAGTGTGGGAGGAAACCCACACAGACACAGGGAGAACATGCAAACTCGACACAGAAATGACCCTGGTCACTCGGCCTGGAATTGAACCCAGGCCCTTCTTGCTGTGAGGCAACAACGCTACCCACTGCGCCACTGTGCTGCCCACCTGAAAGCAAGTCTCCCGAAAAAAAATGGCAGCTATAATAAAGGCTTCTGTGTAAATTTCTGTTAAATATATGTTTCTGCTTTTTTCCTTATGCTGAAAAAAGAATGATTATTTTGGTCTTTGACGTTTGCCCAGTACTGTAGATACAGAGTTGCCAGTTAGGTACACTTATTGGCCATTTTATCAGAAACACCTTCACAGAAATGAGTTATCAGTCCCCTTAACCTCACAGAAAAGGTCTATAACTATAACCAGATATTATTTAGGGAGGGGGCCATTCTCAGCACAGCACATTATGTGATATTAACATGCTAGTGTGTGTTGCACTGATACGAGTGAGAATAGTCCATCCACCAAAAATATGGACCTTGTCAAAAACTGACCACTGAATACATACAGGAGTAACAATATAGTAGGTGTATCTGATAAAGTGACCAGTAGGTGTTTAATACTACCTGATTAACTCTCAGTAACTCCTCAAAGCCCTGGAGAATTATGTTAGTGAATGGAACATTTTGAACTAAAACCACTGAACACTATTCTCCTCTCGGCTCTCTGTAGGACCTGGTCTGAGTCTTAAGGAGCCCCACACAATTGTTAGTGCCTGCAGTTCTTGCTTGCCGGGCTGGAAGCTTTGCTGGGGATAGGGCTGTGGAGGAGAGGACGGCTGAAGAGGTAGATGATCCCCAGGCTGAAGACAAGGCAGAGCAATGCGGCCCCCAGAGTACTGCCGAAGGTCACGGCTGGAGCATGGGCCTGCAGCCATGGCCGTCTCAGAGCCATGTCCATCTCTATTGCCTTCATTTGGAAGTGCGTGCCAATGATCCCACACACGTGGAACAGCTGGTGGCTGTGGCCTGCAGGGGACAGACAAGTGAACAATGGACAGGAAGTTAGAGGTGTGAACATTTCAAAGAGATGTCTAAAGACATTTCAGCATAGATATCACATTAAACATGCATTAAAGCAGTGGCTCAATCAAAAATCAGGTTTAGACAAATATCCTAAAAATGTAGTTGATCAGCCAAGACATGCTTGGTGTCGAAAGGTTGCTTCTTTAGTTTTGTTCCTGGAGCTACAAGGCTACAAGCTAACAAGCACAGTTGTATGGCAAAGTTTGAGAACAGACTTCTGCACATTTCAATGCAAAATGACTGTTTATTTGCAGAATTTAACATATACATTTATAACATGATGTGTATATATATATATATATATATATATATATATATATATATATATATGTATGTATATCAAGTTTTCCTATGATAGCAACAAAATGCTGCATTGGTCAGTGATGGACAATGTGAAATTGCAGCGTTCTGCCTTATCACAGCAGCCTTTGAAAGACGACCACATGCAAGTCCATATTTTCAGTACAAACCATGCTGTAGTAAACCCACACAGTGCACACCCTGATGCCTTACTGTTATGCAAACACAGACAGCAGGGCTGATAAGTCCTGCCTTACCAATGTAGTCGAATCGTCCAGGTGCGAGCCTCTCAGGGAGGTGTGTGGCGAACAGGAAGCCCGTCAGGAATGCCAGCAGTGTGTGGTAAATGTGGAGAGAGTTCGCTTCATTCACAGTGCAGCCTTCTCCCACACACAGAAATATCTAGAAAAAAAGAATGGTTATTCTTGTATCACTCCAAAGCTTTTTACAAATAAACATCTTACTAAAGTGGTAATTCTGAATGCTTTTAGTTTTCTTGTATCTCAATGTGAAATGAAGTATAAAATACTGAGAATTAATATATTTATGTCCCTGTATTCATGTAAAAGTAACTCTATTTATGTAAATGGTAACTCCATCTCGTTCACAGTACTGTACAAAAGACTAGATCACCCTTCATTCATTTAATTTCCAGTCAAAATGGCCATTAAGTACAAGTATTTCAGTATTTAGTGTGTCTTCTCACAAGATTTGCTCTAAGTTTTTTAGGAAATCTGCAGGGGACATTTGCAAATGTTCCTTTTTTGTCTCTTTTCTCAGTAACAGCTTCTTTGATGTGGAAGGTGGACAGAAACACCTGTGGATTTTTTCAAATGTGAAGCAAAAGTGGATCCTCTCTCTCATAGATGAAAGCTTTTAATACTGTTTATCTGATGGTGACAGTTTTGGTGGTCTACCAGGTCTTGCATGCATGGAGTCCCATTTTCTCTATATCTTTTAATCATCTTTTGAACTGCAGTTTTGGAGTTTTTTTATTTTCCTTATGTAAGCAGATTAATTTATCTAATCTCTTAGGAAATACCTTTGGAAAAATGAATTACTTGAACTTTTGTCCGGTACTGTACATTAAAGATACCTTTTCCTTCTCTTTTATCTTATGACAGTGAGAGAATGTTCATTGGCAGAAGGAGCCACAGCATAGGTCCAGAAATAATATACATAAATAAAGAAGACAAACTGAACCTCTACATCCTCCTGCAACTTGCATTTGAGCTCAGGCCAACAAGACTCTTAGAGATGTTCTCGCATAGTCTTTAATGTTGCAATTACCATTTGTAGCTTCTCTTGCCAGACTCAACCGCCAGAAAGTGAAGGTATGAGATCATAGCTTTTTCTCTCTTTTGTCTTAGATTTCTCTTTATTCTCTCTCCTCTAGATTTAGCTGTCTAGGACAAGGAACATTTTAGACCATTCTCTGCCCTGTCTGTGAGTGCATATATGGTATGAAACTCACTCTGTAGAAGAGAGGAATGTTGTCGAACAGGTAAGGGTAGGTGAAGGCTGAAATGCGCAACACCTTGCCCAGCTTGGGCTTCTGGCTCTCAGGAAATCTGCGAGAGAAAAAACAAGATTATCAAGGTTGAATAATCACAGAGGCACTCCCAAGAAAAGAGTTTTATAACTGACCATATTAAAGGTGTGGTGAAGCAAGTGTCAGCATTAAATCTGCTTCACAAAGTACATGACAAAGGAGCAGTATCCATACAATTTTGCTGATGGTTCAGTGAACCAAACTGAGTAAAACTTTTATTTTAATATTGATTTAAGCCACACTATGTATGTTTTAGGGATTTGGGGACCTCTCTGGTGGAAATATGCAATTACACTTGTGAAAGAACATTTTGTAATGTTGGTTATGCTTCGGACCCTTTCCCCAAGGGGATGAATCTGATGATTGTGCGCTCATTGAAAGAGAATTCAAAGACAACTCAAAACTTGGTGAACGTGTGTTCCGAGGATGTGAGTGAATTAACTACTATTGTCATCATATCTTCATCAGTGTAATGCTCAGTTTTACAACTGAGACCTAAACATTGAGCCGGACCTTCTTTTTAAGCCTGTGCATGCTATGTTAATATGTAAAGACATATGATGTGGTCTGAAAAGCTCCTGCAAAATCTGACATGATGCCTCAGACTTTTAAATGACTATTTCAGGCTTTACAGGGCAACTCACAGACCATATTTTAATATGTTTTTTTCCTCCTAACTGAGTAGTGCTACTTCTTTCAATTTTAACAAAAAATCGTACACAGTGCAGCTTTAAATTGAAATAAATTCAATGCGCAAAAGTTTGTACTTCTGGTTCTATTGATTTACAAGCAAGATAAGTTTAAGCATTTTAAGTATTCAGGAAAGCCCTAAAGTGAGGTAAAATGCATCAGATATTTCAAGTATTTAAACGGGTTTGAGTAAAACGTGCTTCTGGTCACTTTTCCTTTTTCCCATAGCATCATCATCTGTGAATTATTCACAGCTATCTGACAGATGTTTCATAATATTCACACCAAAGACTGTTTTTTTAAAAAAGGTATTTTTCAAATACTACATCACAAATTTCACATCTATCCTATTTTAAATCACCCTCTTGGTATTTGTAACATAGAGCATATAACCAACTCACAGGGAGAGCTAGTCAGTGTCCACACTGAGAGGTAAGTTGTCACATGGTAAACAATCACTGCAGTTCATTTCTCCTTCATAAACTCAAAAGAGCTCACTTTTAAAACATTTAATTCACAGAATTAGAATTAGATTAATTGGGCAATTCAGAAGTCATGTTAATAAAGTTTAAAAGGCTGATATTTGTTATTCTATTTTGTGGTCAGAAATAAACATGTCAGTCTTTGAAACATTCTATCGTTACAAATTTTATAGATTTATTTTGATGCATTTAGGTTGGAAATCACATTTGATTCAAAGAATTGTACTGAAATAATTGTGTTTATATCAACTCACTGGGCTTAGTGGTTCTAGTGGTTGTTATAACTAACCCCTTAGCCTTTTACAGTTAGCCTCACCTAATGGATAAGCTGTAACATTTGCATTTGCCACTTTAGTCTGAATTAAAACAAATTAACCACAGTCAAATATTTCAAAAATTATTTAGCAAAAAAACGAATTGTGTTAGGTTGTGCCCCACGCTCCCCCAATCCAAATATGAGAAGGCAAAAGTGAGAGGAAAAATGAAGTGGGTTAATCAGCTGCTCAAGCCATAAGGTGCACACAGTGGCCAAAGTAGTGTAAATGAAGAATTTACCTTTCTGTGATGTCATGGTTATAGTGGAGAAATGGTAAGCCAAGCCTTAGCAGAGGAAAGGGAAGGAAGAGAAGCATTGAGATACTAGCAGTTAGCATAGTCCCACTGTAGTACAGCAACTGCAGACTTAATACAGAATAAGTGTAACCCCGAGAGCACTACATTTAGAGTTAAAAATAATGTATCATGTTACTTTATTTCAATGTTATTACAGTGCTATTACTTTATTCCAAATCTAACACATTTAACTGTCACATTACTGGTATGATTAAAAAACAAAACAGAATAAAAAGTTACTGAAACCTGAAAGAAGCCAACTGCCTCAGATCTAAAAATTCCACTAATATGTTGTGGCTGTATGTATGTAAATACGCCTAATGGAAATTTAGCAGTACCACAGTTTCCACCTTTCCTTGAAATGAGTTGTAAACACACTACAGTTGACTGTATTCTGTTTTCCAAATGTTTCTGAGATCCTTCATTTGCTAAATGAAATGTGTAGCCCTATGTTTCCTCACGGAAATTGGGGCCCCATGTTTCAGTCCTGTTATTTCTCAAACCTGTTTCTTTATTCTGTATTTTTCATTTATGATTTTACAACATTGAAAAATATTACTAGCCAGTACTAATTAGGTCCTTATGTGTTTTAAATTAGAAAAAATATTATCACCGTCAGAACAAAACATTGTATCCCCAAAATATTAATTTCCCAGAAGAAGGAAAAATGGATTAGAATTTTGGAGCATTTCTGTTGGTAATTTTACATTATGTCAAAAATGACCTTAGGTTGCCTTAATTTATCATATGATGTATTAGTTAAAGACATGAGAGAATATAGTGCCCCTGGGAACATAAGGCCCTGGCAATATAGAAATGCTCTCTTATTATTGCCTAGATATCCATAATCTGTCCATGAGCATGATACATGGCTTTCTTTTAAGACAGTACTTGGGACGATTATGCTCTTTGCTGCTGTGATAATACCTGGAATAGCAGGCCATGGCGGTGCAGATGATAGTGTTGAATACAGCGATGGGGACATAACATGCGTGAAACATGCCGTTCAACCAGGCATCCGGCATAACGTACGCAGAGTAGGTGATAGCTGAACCTGAACACACAGGGATATCATTTAGATACACATCAGTTCCATTCACAAGATGTTTCTTTGATGGAATGGACAGAAGGTAGCAGTAGTAGCAGGAGTATGTTTGTAAAAGTAAATCGTATTCAAAGAGAACAAGCGCAGCTAAACTGTTGGCTTAATTGGCAAATATATAGAAATATGTTGGTTTGAATTCAAAACAGGAAGCTTAGTTTTATGGATCGCATGGACTAAAGAGTATGTTTTCAAACTTTAACAATGTTTTCATACCACAACAATTTTTTTTTTAATAAATTAGAAAAATTCAGTTTTCCATGATATAGGCCCTTGTAGCAATAGTTTGTTTGATCAGATTGTCTCTAAACAGAAAACAACATTATTTATCCAGAGGATGATTCTGATCTGTAGGCTGCCTGTAAGGATAAATATGAATTCCACTGGACTCTGACTGTAAAATGTATGGATTATATATTGAATGTGTAAAAAGTGTGTGGAATGTGTGCTTAAATGAGTGGAGCCCTACCCAGGCTGTAAAAACTGAGAGCTCCATAGTCAAAGAAGAAGCAGATGTGGCGGGCGCGAGTGGACATGGTGCTGAATGTATGAGCACAGCTGGATGCCAGCGGATACACACAGCAGGACAGCAGGAAGACCAGCAGCGGCCACGTATATGTATCGTTCCACACATCCTGCATAAAAACCACTGTCATCAAGTTCCACAGAAAATACCTGAGAGAGAGAGAGAGAGAGAGAGAGAGAGAGAGAGAGAGAGAGAGAGAGAAAGCACATTTGCTGTTATCTATATGCACAAAATATTCGCCTGTATGTAAAAACTTCTGTATTCGAAGAGATGTATGAAAAATAACTGCAATCATGTTTGATAGTCAGAGAAAGAGGTAGAAATGGTTTTGGTTCCCTAAAGGACCTTTCACTGTTGGCTAATACAATACGAGACAATATGTGATACACTTTCTATTGTCAAATTCCTCTGAAATTTGTCTTACATCACAGTGGCTCCATTACATAAACACCCACATCCACAAGAAACAAACAAACACAACACTTTCACAGATTGATGGAGAATGCACTCAAGATGGTTCTAAATAGGATTCTTCTATTGTTACAAGCTTAACAATAGAAGAACCCTTTTGGGTGCTATATAGAACACACACACAAACACACTTTTTCTAAGCCGCTTATCCTTCTGGGTCACAGGGGGCACTGGAGCCTATCCCAGCGGTCATTGGTAGAAGGCAGGATACACCCTGGACAGGTCACCAGCCCATCGCAGGTCAGAAAGACAGACATATACAATCACACACACACACACACACACACACACCTAGGGGCAATTCAGTATCTCCAACTGGCCTGACTGCATGTCTTTGGACTGTGGGAGGAAACTCACACAGACACAGGGAGAACATACTCCACACAGAAAGGACCTGGTCGCCCGACCGAGAATCAAACCCAGGCCCTTCTTGTTGTGAGGCGACAGTGCTGTCCACTGCACCACCATGCCAGCCATGCTACATAGAACCTTTTTCAAAAAGGTTCTATGTAGAGCCATCTACAGCACATGCAGCAAAGAACGCTTTAATCATACAGAGAGTTATTTGAGTGTTCATGGTTCTTTATAAAACCATTTTCTTTGATAAAGAACCCTAAAGAACCATCACAATAGGGGACACTATTCAAATGTTCAAAGAAGAAATGCCTTCTAAAGCAAAAGGAAGGCAGAAGTTATCACTGGAAGGAGAAAGGAATTTGAGCTGATATAGGAACCATGGCAGTGGACAGGGATACAGCGTTAATGACCTGCTATAGAGAAAGCCTTAGCAATTGTGAGCATATGTTCTTTAAAACCCGTTGTCCTGTCTGGACTTGTTGAAGTTCATGTGAGGTTCGTTACAAGAGACGTTTCTACCACATAGACACCTGTCTAATTAGCATGCATGCTTCCTTTTACACTGCTATTATTTGCACTAGGTTGCTATGTTGCTGTATGTTAAGTCTGGATTAAAATTACGGAACACATTTGACACCATAGCATTGTGTGCAGGCAATGTTGCTAGGCAAGGGCAAGCTTAATCAGCCAGGAGCGAACCAACATTTCACAATCACTCCTGCGCACTGTGTGTCATTGAGCAATTGGCCTAAAACTGCTCTCTCTGGGCAGATTGGAAGCTGCTAGGCACAAACCTTTCTGCATGTTTGAAGGTTAAACAAACATTTATTTGGAGAAAACAACTCTATTCTACCCCACTGCTTAACCCATTAATGTACATATCTGAACATTTTAATATTTAAATATGATTCCTATGTTTTCTGAGCATGACTGAGCACAAATCTGAAGAAATTTTTCAAATCAAATGAAACATATGGCTAAAAAGTGAGTTAGTATTACTTAATTTGTCATCTTTTGGTCACATGGAGTTACTGACTTTTAACAAAACAATAGAAAATCCAAACTAGATAAATGAAAGTATGAAAATTAAATATAATCAACAAATGTGCTGCTAGATGTTTATCCAAACTATCCAAAACCATGCAAAATTGTATAATTTTAAACCAATCAGAACCTGTTTTGTGCTTCCCTCATCATACTAAATGTAGTTCTTGGACATACTGTCATGCAAGGGTTGGAGGTCCCTCCGCAGAGAACAAACTTCTGCTCATTTTAATATGCATTTACTGTTTATTTGCTGAAAGTACCACAGTGGGGAGGGGGGCGGTGGGGGGAGTAAACAATAACATGTCGCCTGTGCAAAATCTATGGCACTTAATATAATATAATATGCATTTATATTTTGTTTTTTTTTTTTCAATATGTTAAATTCAGCAAATAAATAGAAATTGTGAACTCAAATTTGTCATATATAAACAGCATATTTATGCATAGAGAAAATATACTTTTGCATGAGACTGTAACTGTAAATGAGTTCTCTAAAATGCTGTGCATGCTAACATATGGGCTAAATAATGATATTAATTTCTCCACAACATAATGTTACTACAATCCTTAATTTTTTTGGACTCTGAAAATAAAAGAAATCTTTGACAATAATACTGATGGCACTCTTTTGCTGGCAGGTGGAGCCCTACAAGACTACAAATATTATAAAACCTTTATAGAACCCATGTACACACTCCAAAAGATCCTGTAAACCTTTTTACTGGCATATATTTTAAGCGACTGAGTGGAATGCTTTGTATGAAACAAAATAGCTGATCATATTTCACCTCTGTTGCCTAACCTGCCAGTTAAAAATCTAAGGCAAAAGTTAATATGTATGAGACATTGCCAAGAAAAGGCTCATTTGTTGTTGCTATAATATGTTCCTGCTCACTGGAAAGCAACAGTCTACGTGCCACTGAAACCATCTAACAAAACATATTTCATTGCTGTCAAAAGCTTCTTTATTTATTTTTATTTGTTTAAGATATTTTACATTGTGTGAATATTTTATGAAGAATAGACTGAGAGAAGTGGTTCTAAATCATTACAACAATGACAATATGTTCTCGTGGACGGATTAATATAAATGGCCCAGTCTTGGAATAAAAATTTCTTGCATTAATGTACATTAAAGTTAATAACTTCCATAAAGTTACTATTTTAGGGATGCAAGGTTTGCTTACACAATCAATAATATGCTAAGGGCCAAGATACTGTATACAGAACTATATAAGCCATTTCTTGGGTTCATTATTAACTGAGGCCTAAAGAATAAGATGTGAACAAAGCCAGTGTCACTCCGGCATGTTTACTGGTGGTGGAAGGCTCAGAGGAATGCTGTGCTGGGAGCTCATTAGCAGTAATGGGAGAGCTACTGCAAGCCTCCACGAAAGACAAGTCTCCAAAGAGCAGTCTAGCCAGCATAAAACCTCAGTGGGGGAAATGAGCTCCAGGACTGGGTGCTGCTCTATTCAAACTCCAACACTCAGCAGCAGCAAACAAACAAGCTAAAAGCAGTTTCCATGGAATCCAGTATGTGCTATTATGAAGATAGTGCGTGCAATGGTGGTACTGTACTGCGAGTGTGTTGCATGTGTATACACAGAGTTAGAAACAGCAGAAGGACACAGCACTGATCACAGTAGGAATTGTCTGTTGCTTGTATGCCCTCCAAGTTTGGTTATTAAGTGAAGAAAAATGTAAGAATTATTTGTGTTTTCATACATATTTTCATCACAAACATGTTCTGACTTTGCAAGACAACCTGGAGGTGGGTGATGTTTGTGAATCTCATGTAAGTAAATGAACTCTATGCTAAAAATTTGTCCTACAAAACTGAATTAGATTGTTTTTGAATGGACTGTTTTGCTTCAGTTAATCTTTTAAAGTTACACCAAAGTGAACTTTACACAGTATGGTAAACGTTAACCAGACAGAATGCACATTTCCACAAAGAAAATTTGTTTATCTCATTTTCATGTTCTTCCAAAACAATCTAAAACAGCCAGTAAATGACCCATTGCAGTTAACTGTCACTGGGTTTCATGAGTAAACACTGAAAACCATGAAAAAAAAAACCCCACTAAAACAAACCGCTTGGCAATGCTTGGAACGTCGCTACTTTCTGTGAATCATGTGAAAAATCCTTGTTTCTCCAAAGTGAAGGAAAAAAAAAAACATTCTTAACATTCAATATAAGTTAATGTGAAAATATTTTACTCCAAGCAATTTTGGAGCATGTCTGTTGGTACATTAATTGTGAAATTTTCACACAAAGTAAAAGGCAGCTAACAGCAATATTGCTAAAATATATTGCTGAACAGAATAGCAAGACCATATGTCACTATCATGGTATAGCAGTAAAGATGATATATCAACCAAGCTTAGATAAACCAGAGAAAAAAACAGGATTAACCTGTAACATCAGGATCAATAAAATGGTCCTGAACTTTATAAAGGTTTTTATAAAAGCTCCACATTTCAGCTATAAAAACTGAAAGGATAAAACATTTTCCTTTACTGAGGCTAAACTTAGGCTTATAGAATTCTTACCTACACATAGTTAAAAATCATTATCATATCAAAATCTCACAGATATTTTTAAACATTTGCAAACAGCAGCATGTGACAATTTCATAATAAATGGACCAATAGAAATGCTTCAAAATAGTTGGCATAGAATCTTGTTGTATCAACTTACAATAGCAGTTCAGAAAGTTTTTCCTTCTCCTGGAAAATTACAGAGAAGGTTTTATACAACAGTGATGATACAGTACTGTGCAAAAGCAATGAAAACTGTTTAAAATTATCTCAGTTGCCAGTGAAAACACTATAATATGGAAGTCCAGAGAGGCCATAAGGTAGTTATAATTTTCTGGATTGTTATCTTGAGATAATGAGTTAATTATCTTGTTATCTCAAGATAACAAACTTTATTTCGAGAAAATTAGTTCATTATCTTGTGATCTCAAGATAACAAAGTTGTTATCTTGACATCACAAGGTAATTAACACATTATCTCAAGAAAATAATCCATAAAATTATAGCAACAGCTCATGTATTGGATTATAACTAAATACTGGACTTCTTTTAATAGAGCTTTGAAAACGATTAAGCTAACACACCTTCAGACATAAAATCACATTATTTTATATTTGCATTTGTATTTATTCTAATATGAGTGCATTGTTCAATAAATAACTTCATGTATCATTTTATCAGATGCCTCTTGCTCAGTACTGTATATAGAATGGTAGCACTTGACATGTAGCGTGCATGAACTGACAGCAATTAAGACCTTCTCTCAGACTAAGAAAGTAATCAGTCCTCATCCAGCAAGCAGGAAGTCATACATTAACCATTGTTACTGCTTTTGAGCTCCTTAATAAATGCCTTAATTGCTATCATGTAATTAAGTATCGTCGTGCACTCCTACTGTAAAGTGTCACCAGACTAAAACTCATGGAACACATGTATGACCCCGAGGCCTGATATTGCATAAAAACAAAGAGAGTGTTTGTTTAGTCTTACCAGGTTGGTAGGAAGTGTGTCCAAACATTAAGAGTTTCATTGGTGAGCTGGAAAAGGCTTAGGACACAGTCGATGGCTGAGCTGCGAGGGTGACGATAGCCAGAGATAATACTGTCCTCCTGGAAGGCCTAAAAGACACATGCGTGCATGGTTTTCAGCCTCAGGCAAACCTTACAAAGCACAGTGCTAGGCCATGACACACTACTGACCCTGACTTTGACTCTGGGTCAAAAGGATCATCTGTGAGGAAACTCCACTTACTTTACACCAGTGGTCCATTTTACCTGAACAAGACAAATTCTCACAAGCCACCAAATCGCAAAGTCAAAGGAAGTAGTGCAAAAGTTATTTAGGTTCAAAATTAATTATTAGGCCTCCATCAGATTGTGACACAAGTGTGTTATTTTGTTGGTCAAGCTTTACAGAGCACGAGGGAGATTTCTATTCAATCTAATGAATTCAGGTCACAGTTTAGAGTTGCTAAATAACTTTGATTGCATTAAAAAAATAAATAAATGAATGAATAAATAAATGCACCAGGTCAGTTCTAACAACACCTTTCACATGGATGCATAAGGAATGAATGACACACTATGCTCATGAATAGGCTAGTTCCTCCTTTATTCTTCCGCAGGTGGGCGTCACTTCCAAAACTTCCTGATCTTGATCACACAAGTGATTTGTACCACCTTCTACAACGACCCTTCAGAAGTTAATCATTCTTGAAACTATACTCATACAGATATGCTTATATCTGTTCCACTGGTGTTTCAGTCTAGACACATATTAATGCATTTGACACTACTACATTACTGCATGTAGATTATGTAATACAGTGTAACTGTTATGAGGAATCATCTGCTAATGTCCCCAGACACCATTCAGCATGCAACCAGCAACAAGCAGCGCTCTATGTTTTTGTGTGTGTAGCTGTTGTGTAAATACGTGAATCAACTTACTTTGGGAACTTGGTGGACGTTGAAGACGCGGGGCAGTTTGATCAGGCTGAGCATGTTCCTCAGGTTCCAGCTCTGGCTTCCACAGATGACTGAGGAGAAATGCAGGGAGGCAGGGAGGTTGTGACATTTTACCTGAACTCAGACCAGTTCAGCTAGCCCAGCCTCTGCCCCGCCCATGCAGAAAAAAAACACACCCCGCACATGCTCTCTGTTTCCTTTGAGACATGCAGTCTAAATTAAAACTGACTAATTAGTGCAGTGGAGGTGGAGACACACCCACACACACGCGCACACACGCGCACACACACACACACACACACACACACACACATACACATCATCCGTATTCCTAAACACCACTGTACCTACATCTAACCTAATGCTAAGTGTGGGAATCAAAGGGAAATCTTTGTGGTATTTCACATTTTCAAATAAAGGCATTATAAATCAATCAATAAATAAGTGGCTTAATTATTCAATAAATGAATACAAACCTCAGTTCTAAAGTAGTTGCAATAGTACGTGAAATGCTAATAAAAACAGAAAGCAGTAATTAGTCAATTCTGTTTTACCTGTATTAAATTGAAAACAGCACAAAAAAACAATTTTTGAGGTCAATGGATGGCCAGGGTCACCCTAGCATTAAGTATGGCCACCCTTCTGGCCACCCTTGTTATGGAAAGTGAGACCATCAGCCATCATCAGTGAAGCAGTCAATTTGCTGTGATAGGCTAAGTTTACTGAGCAAACAAGTGAATGTGTGTTACATTATGAAGTAGGCTATATAAAGGTAAGATAAGTATAAAAAATTAGTCGTCTATAATCATTCATCATGGTAACTAGTTCCTTTTTACCACTGAATACACGTATGTGCTGTAGGCTAGATTCCATCTGTGCAATAAGTCTGTGCTAATGCTAGGTCAGCCTTTTCTCTCATTAAGTTCCTTAAAAAAATGCAGTCTGACTATTTTTAGAGTCATGTATAACCTGAAGAGAGGGCAGCCTAAATGAATAACTTCTATGGTCGGTTTATATGTAAATTAACATTGTGCACTGAAAAAAGTGTTGGATTAATTTACTTGATTCAAATGCATCTTTTCCTTCTGAAAAAAACAAAATTTGTTGCATTAGCAGAGTTTTGTCTTTCTATTTCATGTATTTTTTTTTCCTTGCAGTGTGTCGCCCCAGTAAAATCTCTGGGTCTGATCCCATTCTAAAGGTTCTAGCTATGCCCCTGTTACTTTATGATCACATTCCAGAAGAAAAGTTGGACACTTTACCATTGTGTTACATCACATTTCCTTTTAACAACACTTAATAATTGTTTACCAATCTAGTTTTGACAGTGGAGTTTTACCATTTTTCTGTTACACAAGTTCTCAGCTGCACAACCATACGGGGCCTTCATTGTCATTCTTTGTGCTGCATTGTGCACCACAAATTTTCAGTGGCAGACAGGTCTAGAATGCCGGCAGCCCAGTTTATTATGTAATCTGACTTATCTGATTATGCAGACATGCTGTTGTAACTCACACAGAATGTTGCTTGGCTTCTTCATGTTGAAATAAGCGTAGGTGTCCCCGAAAAAGACATGCAAATTAAGCATGCCGTGAGCACTTTTACCATGCCACACCTTAGCTTTTGAACTTTGTGCTGGTAACAAGCTGAATGGTCATTTTAGTTCTTTGGCATGCATTAGTTCTATAAACAATCTGAAAGATTGACTTGTCGGACCACCATATATTTCCACTGTCATCATCATCAGGCAACGTCAGATGAGCTTGAGCCCAGAGATCTCGGCAGCGTTTCTGGACATTGATGACATTCCAGCTTCCACTATGCACAGTTTGTATTGTGTTTATCGACGGTTCCCTGTCACATTTGGTGATGTCCATGGTGATGCCCATCACAGAAATATGATGGTTTTTAATGCAGACATAGAGATGCAGAGATTTTTTTGATGATATTATGCACTGTAGAGGGTGAAATACCTCAAAAAATCCTTACAGTCACTTGTTGAGGAATGTTGTTCTTAAAGTGTTAGTGCTGAGCTTGGATCAATCATTCCTTATAACGAACTAGGCCTTTCCTGGATGGACCTTTTATTCCCAAGCAGGATTGCACCATCTGTTAAGACATTTTTGAACATTTCACAACATCCCTAGTCTCAAACTACCTCTGTCCCAACTTTTTGGGAAAGTGTTGCAGGCATCAATTTCAGAATGAGTATATGTTCGCATAAAATAATGACATTGATAGGGTAAAATATTAAATGTCTCTGCCTTCGTATAAATACAAGCCAACGTATACTTACAAATCACTGCTTTCTTTTTTTTTTTTTTGCGTTTCACATACTGTCCCAATGTTTGTGAACAAATAAATAGTAAAATCAGCCAAATGTCTTCACATTGTCCATATGTTTGTATTTTCTGAGTACATTTAGTCCCCATAAAGAGATAAAAACAAAACAAGACCTCAGAATTTCCAGCTTTTGCACATCTAAACCTTAAAACTTTAAAATGACCTAACAAAAAGAAAAAAAAAAAGAAATAAAGTCTTAAATCTGTTAGTCTCACAAACTAATGCATTAGTATATTATTGGTCATACCTTTAGTGGGTTGAACAGGTTGGTGGAGTTAAGCAGAAAGGCTTAGTGTTCGGCAGAACAGTCCTGCAGAAACAGATGTCACTGACATGAGCAGAAAAAATGCCCTGAAAAGCTGCTGCTGGTCAGCATGAGTGGACATATCAGTCAGTTTTTCTGTCACTCTCTCTATTTCCTGGGCCTTCTCGGTACAGGACAAACCTGGCCAGTCAGGCAGAGGGCTGTTTCCTTATCGGTTTCACCCAGCCCAGGTACTGTTGACGAATGAATGGAGGGTGTGTGTGTGTGAGAGAGAGAGGTTAACGGCAGCCGAAAAGTAAACAAATCTTTTTCTCACTGTCTCACACACACACACACTGTCTATTCCAGAGATCGCGTGCTCGTGTGTCTGTTTCACACAAAGAGAATGCAGCACACTGTATGTATCATGTTGCTATAGAGATGTGTTATCTTGTGCAAACTCTAAAACCTCGAAAGCAAACACCTACGGCTCATGACACGACACATACACAGCCTTGAACATTTCTTTCTCAGCTTTCATTTACTTTAATAAACTGAGACTGAGCTGTTACTTACTCTGTATTCCTCAGGATGAAGTTATACAGGAGCAGAGAATGAATTAATGTTACTGAGCACTCAAGATGTTGTGTTACATGACAGAAGAGTTCATTTCCATGAGTAAGGTTGCAATCATTAAAAGAAAGTGGTGCCATACGTGGCTCAAAACTAGAGTAAATGTCTAGGAAAAACACCTGACTACCACAAGCTGACTAAACTGTATGAATTTATAACTTGCTAACTGTGCATTGCTGATGATTGGATGCTCATTTTAGGTTCTAATAACCTTCTCAGCATGATCAGTCCAGGGTTTTGTCTCACAATGCATGACTTCTTGTTTACCAGTCTTGCTTTTTCCGTTATAAATGCTTTATTTGCTCCATATTTAAGTAGCATTTCTTTATCCTTCTACGGTGACTCCTCTTCAGGTTTCTCTATGACGTCAAGCTTTTTACCCTGAGTATCTAAACCTGGATTAACAGAGAGTGTTGTTAACCACTGTTGTAAAACGAGTTAAACATGTCTGTCTTTGTTTTGTGAAGCTGAAACTCATTAAAAATCGTTGAACCTGCAGACTGCAGATCAGATGCTTCTTATTGTCCAACTACAATGTCAAAATAAATGGCATAATCACAAAATATACCTTTAATATACCAAAATGAACCTTTAATATATAAACTGTATATAATATAAACAATATCTTTAAGCTTTTTCTCCTCATCTTCTCTCTTTTCCGTTTTTGGCTCCAGATGTGTGAACATTCTTTTTTGAAACATGACTGACCAGTTGTTTTTTTCCCCTCACTTAAGCATCTTAGCCAACATAATGGTAAAGTAGAAAGCCATAAATTGTTGGGGGAGGGGGGGGTGCAATGGTTTATTCAGTAGAGCCTGTACTGCTACTATTATGCATTACGATGTGGGTACTACCTGTGTAATTAAGAAGTACACTACTTACACACTTAGTGAGTTACCACATATCTATTCAAGTGGTTAACATTTCAGAAATCACTATGAACATATTGAAAGTTCAAGATTTGTCTATTGTCCTAAGTATTCATACAATGAAACTTTTTTACTACAGCAGTTTGATCCTACATGTAAAAATAGTAGCAGCCCGTAGCATGTTGCCATAAGACAGCAGCAGCTTGAATCTCTATGACATAAATATTAACGTTCCATTTATAGCAACCAATTATGCATCTTTTGGTGTCTAAGTAGCTTACAGACAGTTCTACTTTTTTCTCCACTAGCACTATATTACTGTTAAATTTAGGCCTGTAAACATACTTCATCTTTCATACCTCTAAACCAAGGCTGCCTAAAATATGGCTTAAATTAACACACATTCCAGAGAACAAACTTAAACTTGACATTTTTTTTTGCCAATTTTAGGGCACAATTTCTATTTATTTGTTGAGTTTATTATAAAGAGAAAATGTGCCATAACTTTTGCACAGGCCACATTCTATGCTTTATTGTTTTTTCCCCAATATTTAGAATTCAGCAAACAAGCAGTAGTTGTGTATTAAAATGCTCACAAGTGTGTTCTCTGTAGAAGATGTGTTAACTTATTTTTACTTTAAAAATGAACATAACATGCAATTGGACCAGGGGCACACAAACTTTTGCATACATTTGCATGTTTTAACTCAAAATCTATTTTCTTTATCATGTACTGCCTTGGCTTTTTAGAACTCGTCCCACCACAGACATTACATTTTGGCTCCCCAAGACAAATAGTTTGGGCACCACTGCTCCAGACAGAGCTGTTATCTGATCTGTTTTCTTCTTCTCAAACTACAGCACTGCTGTTAACTCTAGTCCTATACATGTAATGTTGTACATTCATATTAATGCATAATATACTGTTGATATTTTACATTCTCTCATTTCTTCTGCTGGTGTTCCATGTTGTAGAATAAATACCTGAGTCTCAATGTACAAATGTACAAATGTACAAATGTCCCTGGCATACACTATATGTCCAAAAGTTTCTGGAAACCTGGTCATCCACATGCCCTCTCAAATCAGGGGTATTAACAGGGAATGTGTCCTTTGCTGCAGCAACAGCCTCTACTGTTCTGGGTAGAATTTATACTAGATGTTGGAACATTATTGTAAGGATTTGACTGCATTCAGCCTCAAGAGCATTAGATGAGGTCAGGTACTGATGTTGGATAGTTAGTTCTGGATCACAAACGGCACTCCAGCTCATTATGCTGGATGGCACAGCTTCACTGCAGAGAATGCAGTTCCACTGCTCCACAGACTAATGATGATTCTAGCCGATGCTTGGCACTGAGCATGGTGACCTTAGGCTCAAACCTTCCCACCTCATCCACACTCTCAATTAGAAAGACTTTGTCTGAATACTGTCAAACTGCTTTTCAGCCAAAAAACTCTACATCACACAACTGCTGGCTGATAACTGGATACTGACTTCATTACAAACAGACCAAAACAGGTTCAAGTACAACAGGTGCAATAACAGGAACGGGGCCAGTTTATAATGTAATTACTAAGCCAACCACACGGTGGCAGTGTTTTTAAACAACGCTGTCTCAAAGGAGCACACTGGCCAACCTTGCCTCAAACTGACAGACAAAACATGATGTAATCACCAAACCAACCACTTGGTGGCAGTGTTTTCAAACCCAACAGAGGCTTAAAGAAGCACAGCATCCTTGTCTCCAACTGACCGGCAGGAAAGCCAGATTCCTTTTGCATGCTTGGTCCGTGGTAACACTTCAAAGGGAAGTGCAAACAAAACCCCAACAAAAAGCCAAAATTTTGTTCCTTACTCAACTCACTTGACCTTTCTAGCTCTCCTGCAGGAGCAGAATGTGGAAAGGGTGGCAGTGTGTTTGATCACATCCCACCTCAATGAAAAAGGTTACAATGGCCTAAAAACAGCTCACCAAGCAAGTCTTTCAGTGAAATACTGAAAAGGCTGGCCTCACTGTGAATCTCTAGAGTCGCTTCACAGCCTTAACAAAGAGAGATCGGAGGCAGAAACCTTCTCAAACAGAACGGAAACAAAGCAGGGTGTAGTTGGCAAGTAAGCCAAAAAATAGTTTAATGGAATTCAGGGATTGATTCCTTCCACCCACAGATTCATTCTGAACTCCACTTCACCACTTACACCCATCTCCACTTCCTCGCTCAGTCCTGTCCTGCTCTCTACACTACATAGAAGAGTCCGGTTCACTCCCAACATAGAAACCTTAATGGAGACCAAAATGAAAAATTGAACCAGTGCTACATTTGTTGTAAAGATACCTGCTCACTCCCTGCAGTGTTGCCACAATAGCCCTGAGAGTGAGATTTTCTGGTTTAAAAAAAATCTTTTCTGATGATCTTTAAGGTGGGAGGATCTTTTGGAAATGTAAAAGCTGTCTGAGGCAGATTCATGAGGGCGGGACTTTTAGGGAGCGAAATATCACATCTGAATTTATTAGCCCCTTTGTGAGTGTTACATCAGTGGGTTCTTTTACCACTGTAGGGGAATTCACAATGATTATAAGATGTATTTATATAATGCATGCTGGGTACTGCAGTGAGAGTGGACAAAAACACAAAAAGGATATAAAATCATGAACTCTAACAAATCACTGAGGCTGAAGGGAGCAATGCTGCACTACAGAGTATTACATAACATGACAAATAACATATTAAATTCTAGTTTTGGGCTGGAAAGCACCTTTAAAGGGATAGTAAAGCTAAAATCAGTGTATAAAATTAGCCCACTTACCCTTTAGTGTTTAGTTCTTGGAGCTACAAGGCTAATGTAACTATTAAGCTTGGGCGATAATGTGAATTTAGACATTAAATCCTCATGTACAGAATTATTGCAATAAGCAATATCATTGTGAATTCAGTTACACAGTATACCTGAAGTTACAGACCCTTACCCTACAGATTGTAGTATAGAAATGAAACAAGCTGCACTCTTAAAGAAGATGGTTCTTCAAGGGTTCTTTTGTAAAGACAATAGTTCTATATGGAACCATGAACACTCAAAGAACCATCTGCATGCTTAAATTGTTCTTCGCATGGTGAACTGTTCTTCAGATTGATGGAGAATGTGTTGTAAATGGTTCTATATATAACTTTTTTGAAAATGGTTCTATATAGCATCTATATAGCAAAAGGGTTCTTCTACTGCTACAGGCTCGATATCGTTGCCAAACATTGCCAAAGAGACACACTAGCACTCATCTTCTGGTCAAGCTCATTCATTTTACTCTCTACCAGGCAGTAGGTCTCATGTACCTGGAGTTTCTTGGTTTCAAGCCTAGCAGACTGAATATCTTTGTTGTTACATTGTGGCATTCAAAGCATTCATAGCATTCAAAGTATGTATGTTTTGGATAATGAGTTAGTGATGTTCTGCTTGTATAGCCTATAATTAAGTGCAATCTTTTCCATTGTATACATTTTATTTTTTTTAACCGACCATAGTTTAGAATGAATGTAAACCGGAATGGTTCAATAAAACCAAAGCAATAAGAAAATCACGTGGCACATGAAAGAGAAGAACAGAATGACAATATGCATATTGTAGTGTGTTCAAGAAATGTTTACATGTTAGTTTCAGGCTATTTGTCCTTCAGCATTTATTCACAGGGTTATTCCGCTAAGGACTATTATTGTGAAGGGTGGGGCTAGGTGCGCCCGAGGGATGTGTGTGTGTGAGCACAAAAAAAATCTGAGAGAGTCA